ATATAATACCATCCTAATTAGTTTGTGTCCACTAAATTTAAGCTCTCTATTTTGGGGCACAATTGTATTATGCCCATCCCCCACACCCCTACACCTCCGACTTGTTCATATAGCATTGATAGGGCAAACATGGGTAAGACACAGTGAGACATGTTTTCCTCTGGACCTGTTCAGTTTAATCATTAATTTCAGAAAAGCAAAAGAAATTAACTATTAACCAACAATCACATTTCCTTAAGAACAGTTTTCCCTAAAGAATAATCTATAAATTTAAAGATTTTTACATCTATATGCTGTGAACTACATCTGAAAGGACTGCGGTACATGTTCATAAGCTTGGTTACCTTAAAATTCTGCGTATTTGAGGAATCCTTTGATTAATGTACAATTATAGCTCTTAAAGCAATTTCATTTCAGGAAATATATTTGTAAGTCTCTTAAAAGGAAATGTCTGAGTATGGAAACCAACATCACATGATTTGGCTGACCTTATCAAAATATGGACTCTTTAGCCTAACAGGTCTGCTTACAAATGTATAAATCCAGTTGACTTTACATAATAATGAACTCTCTCTCTCTCTCTCTCTTTTTTTTTTTTTACAACCTTGTAACTCTTCAGTGATTTGTGGTAGCTGTGTCTACCAGACACTGCTTGTATACTGAGTATCCAAAAAGGAAATTAGGTTATAAAATAGTGTACTGAATGTAGTTGGCTCTGTTCACTGAGGGAATCACAAAATAAAATACACATGAGATAAAACTAATGGCAATTTACAGTTGGAAAGAGACTGAGATAGTAAAAACTCAGACTAGAATCAGAAGTTGCAGATTAGAAGGCCAAAGGCCTGCATAAACTCTTGGGCCGGTTGCACTGCTAATTTACCAATTTGGTGGGAAGTCATTTAACTTCAGCTGCTCTCATGCCACATGTTCACATTCATGTGTATCTTCAAACATTTATTTGGTAGCTACTAAATATCTAGAATCTTGTGAGGTTCTCTAGGTAAGGCTCTGTCCTACCCTAAAGACATCTAACAGAGGAGCTCAAAGTCCAGTTGATGGCTCTTAATATTTTCTTTACTATGCAACTTCCAAACATGAGACTGCCCCCATCAGTGACAAAGGGTCATTAGAAGAAGTAAATCTCAACAGTTCAGGCTATATTAGAATATGTGAGACCGCCTCTCCAGAAAATTTTGGCAGCCCCTCTGTTATTCCCACTTTCCCCACATGCCCTTTGAGAACTTTTGAGAACTGCTTGTCTAGAAGGATCTTACAACCTCCAAGGGTAGCTCTATGAAGAAAATAACGTATTATACAAAAAATGAAGATCTAATGAAGAAAAAACAAAAGTCTAACAGTGCCACATTATTGTATTGTTAACATATCTCTCCACAAATATATTAAACGGAGAACTGTAGCATTTGATCCTAGGGAATTGAATATTAAAATAAAGATCTAATATTTTGATGTACTTTTGATTTATAAAATTGGCAAAAACATTTTGTTTTCATTTAATTTTTCTTAGTAGGTAGGGCAATACTACTTTTCCTATTTAGATATAAAGAAGCCGAGACCCAGGCAAATTAAATAACTTGCCTTAATCTCATATCTACTGAGTGGCAGAAATTAAAACTAAATCTTCTGACCCTAAAACCAGTCCAGTCCAGTTTCTACCCAATGGAGAACCCTACCTAAGAAATATAAATATATAAACACTTATCCTTTTTCCAAGATGGGAAGGTCCTGACAAACCTTCAAGGCAAAAAAGCAATTCAAATTTAAAAACGAAATTATAAACCTCCACTTGTAAGGTCTAATAATATGGCTCTTAACTGACATTATTGGAAAATAAGGTGTTCTGGACGAAACTTCTAAGGATTTTTATACTAGATGTTTAAGATGAAAAAAAATAAGCATATATATACATCCTATTAACCAGAACACAAAGAACATAATTTATACTTTTAAAAAATGATTTTCAGTCTCCTTACACAGTTACGACTAGGCTATTATACCAGCCTTTAGAGTGGAGTGCTCCAGGGCACAAAGCCTTAAACCAGTAAGCTCAGAGCTCAGATTGCTACATTCTTCCTACTGTCTCCACTCTAGTGGTCATTTCCTGTTCTTTTGGTAATTGGTGGTGATTAGCTCTTTTCAGCTTAATTGACTCCCCTTATCCCAGCTCCCTCTATCCATTGCAGCTTGGAATTCTCTGCTTTTGTATTCTAAGGAGGAGCTTAAGGTTATCAGGGAAAGCCAGAAAACAAACTTAGTAAATACTCAAATTTAAAAACACACACACTTTTGCATATGTGTATGAAGATAAGCCCACAGTTACCCACACACAAGCACACATACCAAGGGTGCCAGATTGTGTCTTCTCAATGCTTGTATCACTCCCTTCGTTATCAGCAGGTAGGCATGAACGAATGACACATAGGGTAGAATGTCCATAAACTTGAGAATTATAGAAAATGAAAGAAATAGACTGTGAGAGTGAGATGTTAGGTTGGGTCTAGTATTGAGTCCTAAGTCTTTACTATGGGGTCGGAGATTTTTGGCCTTATGATTTTGAATAGATTGGTAGACTGAGTCTGTTTCTAATCATCTTCATCTATAAAAGGGGAATAAAAAAGAAATCTATATACCATAATTTGATAACTAGTGCCTCAAACTATATAAAATATTATAGAAATAATTTATTAAATCAAAAAGTTCTGATACAAAGATATTCTAATTTCTCATATATTATCTCTCTCATACATGATAAAACAGTAATAAAATACAAGTACAAAATAAAAACAAGTCCTCACTCTCATGAAGTTTATATTCAAAATTTATAGCCTTTTTCATGTAGGTAAGCTCTAAAATCATAATTTCCCCCCAAAATAGGGTCTACGTTAATAGAAATCTTAAAAGGCACTTATTAAGTTTCATTATCCATTATTGATTAGCTTTCCAATGAAAGAAGAAGATGTATAGATATCAAGGCTTTTCCTTATTTATTTATACCTTAGTTACAAAAACAGTTATTTCCTCAGTTACTTCCATAGAAATTATTTAAAACAAAAACTAAGCAAGAGCTTGGGAAAAACTTTTGCTTCAGAAGCAGAGAAGTGCAGGTTCTGTAACCAGCCGGAACCTGGGTCCTGATGACCCAGATGTAGGGCAACACAGAGGGTCCCTCTCTAAACACCCTTCTCCACATTGCTTTATTTTTACATATCTCCTTACTTTGGTTCAGTAATCAGTGATCGGGGAAGTGGGGACGGAAAGGAGTCCTTATATTGGAAGGTGCAAAGTGGCATTAGGAAGGAATCAGAGGCAATTTTTCCTATTTATCGTCTACTGGGCTAATCATAGAGTTAAGGAAAGAGAAAAGGAGATAGCTGGGGAGGAAAGTGTGACAAAAATAAATTGACTGCAGTTTCGTATACAAATTTATTTTCCAGGGATCAGTTTCCTGGTAACAGGATCCATTTTTCCCTATGGGAAATATTCTTTTCCACTATTGGTCTAGGTAGCTTAGGTTGGCTGACTCCAGCCAGAAGGAGCCTGTCAGATCCCTGCACTGTCAGATTCCCAGGCACTGGGATTGGTTCAGAGGGGAACACGGGAGCCAAGTGCAATCTTGGGAGACTTAACTGGGGGGTTTTATAAGAACAGCTGCGAACAGAGAACCTCTTTTTCATGAGGGCCTGGTGGCTGTCTCATCACCATGAGAGAACCTGGACTGGACAAGACGAGAGCCAGAGCAAAGTTAAGGGGGAGAGGGAATGGGATTGAGTTCTAACAACCTGGCTTAAGACCATGTCTTGTCGGAAGCCAAGCCTACACTAGGGCTTTGGAGTTATGTGAATCAATGCATTTCCACTGGTGCTTAAGCCAGTTTGTGTTGAATTTTCTGTCACCTGTAACTAAGAGCCCATGTTTTGCAAAAGAAATACAAAACTATCACCAATTCAACGCTGGATTTGGGGACTATTCAATAATTAATAGCGTAAATAATGTAAAATCATGTAATATTAATTAAATAACACAAAATCAATCCTAGAAGCACAGAAATAACTACTTGGTCAGCTTTTGCATCCAAAATTGAAGACATTTCCTCGCAGTCACCAGCAAAACAAAGACGAAACATTCAAGTCCTTAACCCTTAGGTCTCTGAAGCACTGATATGTCCCCCAGAAAACTGTCCTGAGAAATAAATCTACAGGAGTCTTAATGCTGAACTCCTTGGTGAAATCAGTGTTGATTACGCCGATAACGCTGCTCCTAAGAGCAAAAATTCTACAGTTTAGCCAGTCACGTAGTCAACACTAACAAAACCATCTGGACTAAGTCTGATGTTAATTAATTGCATATAAGTGAGGATGGAGGGAGGCAAAAACAAACTAAAAGAGGAAGTACAACTCCTTGGACAGAAGCAAAAGCTAGTCTAAATACACCTAGAGGATGTTTCATTTAACTTCCTGGTTTGGAAAACCTTCAGTTAGAACAAAGGTAGGACTTTCCAGGGACTTGGAATCTGAAGCAGCTGCTAAATGAAATTATTCTGTATGGAACACAACTTAAATTACAGACATGATTTTGCTATTAATTTTTTAATTTGCCACAAACACCTGTATTTGATACAGAAACACGGGAAAGACATGATGCATTCTATGTGTGCCAAATAAAATGCTCCTGCACAGCATGCAAATTAAATTTATGGAGAATTATATTTCTAAGGCTCACTGAAAAACAAAGACAAACAAAAACAAAAACTCCTTTTCGATTAATTGCAGTTCTCCATGTCAAATTCTGCCTATTAAATAGTGCTCATTGGAAAATCTCCTTTTGGCGTTAAGGTAAGATATTACGACTATTTTTCACGGACAGACTGCCTCAAAAACGTTTTTGAATTATTTCCCAATAACGATTTAGAGTTAACTATGCAAGTAAATGATACACTAGGAAAGGAAATGTGTAAAAGGAACACCCACATGAACATTTACCTTCCACTGCTCTTTTGAAGAACACTTTGCAGCTGCCACAGGTGACTACCCCATAATGACATCCTGAAGCCTCATCCCCACACACCAAACATATTTTGGAAGGTCTTGAAGATCCAGTAGAAACACTTCGCAAAGTAGAGCTGAGGAGAGAAATCAAGATTTAAATAAATACACTGTAGGAGCACATTTGATAGATTGTATAGCTTAGCTCAAAATTTGTCAATACTCACGGTTCCATAAATGAATTCAGGATTTACTGGTCAAACATGTGACTTAGAAAATGAAGGCAGATCCCTATCTGTGGAGAAATGTTATCCAAAATTCTGTAGAGCAAAGCAAAACCTTTTCTCGGTACCAAGAAATAAAAATCACATGTACACATTTCCCCCTACTTTTTTTAAGGTTCAGGAGAACTGACAGTTATTATTATAATTTTTTAAATATTTTATTTATTTATTTGACAGAGACAGAGAGACAGAGACAGAGGGAGAGAGCACAAGCAGGGAGAGGGGTAGAGGGAGAAGCACGCTCCCTGCTGAGCAGAAAGCCCTAGGTGGGACTCAATCCCAGAACCCTGAGATCATGAGCGGTACTAAGGGCAGACACTTAACCGACTGAGCCACCAAGCACCTGAGGGCCCCTCCCCCTATTTTTGGGAAAATTGACCAGAAAATATTATTTGCATTCTAGGTGGCAGGGAAGAGAAGAGTCTTTTCACCCAGACTCAGATTATATATCTCAGTTATGCCAGATTAAAAACAAAACAAAACAAAACAAAAAAACCAAAAGAAAAAAAAAACTCTCCCATTTCCAAAACAATCTACTAATTAAAATTTAAAAATTCTTGCCTCAACTGCCAGCAATTTTATCTCATCAAGCTTCTGCATTTTTTCATGTTACCTTCAATATGTTCCAATCACTACATCCTGCTTACTAATTTGAAGGGACACAGTCAATACTTCAAAAAAAAAAAAAAAAAGCCATACATAGTAAATATCTCAAGTATCTTTCTGGTAAGAAACTGAAGGGTTCTGGGTATCAGTTTTTAGGGACCAACTGAACCCTTAAACAAAAATCTGTATGAATACTTCTGAAGGGGAATCTTTTCATATATTATTATGAAATCTATTACACTGCTAGTTAATGGCACAGTTTAAACAAAACTGTTTTAATGAATATCAGTTCAGCAACAGATGTGCTGTGAGCCGGCAAAGAAGGTGATGTTATTCATTCCTTGTCCTCATGCATTTATCGAATACCTACCTGCAGGTCCCATGCAAGGTACTGAGGAAATAAATACCCAACCCAGTCTCTGTCCTTCAGTTAGTGGGGACACGAACTATTATGGTGAGTGCTACAGTGCAGGGTAGTACCGTGGCACAGACTGGGAAGGGGAGGAAAATACCAGTTGGGGAACAGTTCCTGAAAGGTGACCACTGAACTGAATTTGGAAGAACTGGATGAGAGCCGGGCCAAGAAAAGGGGCAGGGGAAGCAGAAAGGGCAACGGCTCGGAGAAATGCCAGCTGGACCTGTTCGGAAAGCTGAACAGACTTCTTGTATGTCACCACCATCACCTTGCTGCCACATCTGTGTCCATGTGAAATAGCAGGCATGTGGGGAAAAGACTCAAAGAAAGGGGCACCTGGGTGGCTCAGGGGGTTGAGCCTCTGCCTTCGGCTCTGGTCATGATCCCAGGGTCCTGGGTTCGAGCCCCATGGTCCCAGCTAGGCAGGGAGCCTGCTTCCCCCTCTCTCTCTGCCCTACCTGTGATCTCTCTTTCTCTATCAGGTAAATAAATAAAATCTTAAAAAAAAAAAAAAGACTCAAAGAAAAAGGCTTGAATGGTTACATTACACTGATGCTTTTTCTGTTTTTCCAATTAGCTAAAGTATAAATAATAGTTCTGACTTGGTAATTAAAAAAAAAAAAAGGTTTGAACTATTTTAACTGTGCTCTCACCAAAAAAAACCAGGAGAAGAAACAAAATATTCAGCTGTTGGAGAACTACAGCATGACTGACTTTCTAGAAAAGGTCTTCTTAATCAAGGACTGAAACAATGTTCTCCAAAGTTGTTTCTCCTTCTGAGAAGAGTGCTCTTTGTTATTTTTATTAGTGTCCTTTGACTTCTTTATGGCATTCAAAACATTCCATTTCAGCATCGGGAACTTCTTTAGCATATTAGCCAGTGAAACTCGATCCACACTCTGTCTGACTTACACTTCACAGGGAAATACCTCGACTCCTTAAACAATTAGAATGTAACTTACAATCATCATTAACATGTAACTGCTTTTTCACAACTGCTATCATTCATGGGGCTTATCTTGGTCCCCAAACTTCATAATCTCTTGACTTTGTTCTTTGTAACTCTCTTCTATCCAAATTTACTTTCTCTGTGATCTCGCCTAGTTTCTTGGCTTTAAATATCATCCATATGACCAGGACTTCCAAATATTTATCTCCAGCCCAGACACCTCCCTGGAATTTCCGACCCATTTATCTGACTGCCTGACGTGTCCATCCGAGTGTCTGACGTGCACCTCAAACTTAACACGTCCGTAGATTTGCTGATTTTCTCCCCGCTCCTCCTACAGACTTTGTCCTTTCAGTTAATGGCAACTGTTGGGGCTGAACTGTGTCATCTCCAAAATTCCTGTGTTGAAGTCCTAGCCCCTAGGACCTCAGAGTGTGACCTTTTCTTGGGATAAGGGTCACAGCTGATACAATTAGTTAAGATGAGAGCATTCTGGAGCAAGGCGGGCCCCTTATCCAATATGATTGGTGTTCTTGTTAAAAAGCGGAAATTAGCGCGCGCGCGCGCGCGCGCACACACACACACACACACACACACACACACACACACACACAGAATGCCATGTGAAGATAAAGGCAGGGATGCTTTTACAAGCCAAATAACACCAAAGATAGCCAGAAAACCACCAGAAGCCAGAGACAGGTATAGGACAGATTCTTGCTCACGGCCTTCGGAAAGGAACAACCCTGCCGACACGCTCATCTCGGACTTTGGGCTCTCAGACCCCTGAGACAATACATTTTTGCTGTTTAAGGCTGTGGTCCTCTGTTGCTGCAGCCCTGGGGCAAACTAATGCAGCGACTTGGACTCATCTCTGACTCTACTTTTTCTCCAATCGGTTAAATTCTATTCACTTTGCCTTCGGGTTCTCCTCACTTCCCATACCTCCTCTGGGACCACTAGCCCAAGCCATCAACAGTTCTTCCTTAGGATCTGCAGAAGACTTCTAGCTGATCTTCATGTTTCTCCTTGTCCCCTTCCTTCCCCTGTATCCAGAATGATCCTTATTCACTCCTTTGCTCAAACCCATCTGGGCCCTTTCCTCACACTCAAAGGAAAACTCGGTTACCCAGGTGACCACAGGGCCAGAATCTGGCCTCCCAGACTTCTCTAACCTCTCCTGCTTGCCTACACCACTCCAACAACACTGGCCTCCCCACTAGCCCCCAAGCCCACCATGTGTGCTCCCACCTCAGGGCCTTTGAGCTTTCTGTCTCCTCTTCACATAGATATTGACAGAGTCCCCTCCCCCACCTCCTTCAGGGCTTCATCCAAATGTCACAGTATGCAGTGGAACCAAATTAAGTTGAAAAGAAAGTCTAGCATTAAAAAGACACACCGTGAAATCCAAATTAAAACAATTTTCTTTAATTACAAAATTAAAGCAAACATGAATTATTTTTCCCTCCTATTCGCCACCATCTTTCAATGACACAAGAGCAAATCTGCCTCTGCACGCCTCTTGCATCCCTCTGCCTCCTGGGTTTCTGTCACACTGTACTGAGCCCATTCTCCTTAACACGCCTCCTCTATTTTTCAGACTCCTCATTTTCTAGACCATCAATGCAGCGGAGCTCGACCTTTGGCCATCTTTTTTTCTTATTTCTGTACTTTATCCCTTAATGATCTCATTCACTCTCCTGGCTCCCACAGCTCTTTTGGTGAATGACATCCCAAATCTTCGTATCTGGCTCCAGCCGCTCCCCATGTCCAACTGCCTATTTTTACTTCCTTTACCTAACATCTCTGCCTCTGCATTCTGTGGGTTTCTGGAAGGGTCCTGCCATCGGCGAGTCTGCCGGGGCAAACCTCCCCTATTGTCAAATCTAACAGTTACCAGGGCTGCTCCTTGGCCTCACCGCCTGTGGTGAACTTGGTACCAGGCCCTTGTCACTTACTTTTGAAGGGTTCTTCCCTGACACCGGCGTCTCCTCCCTCCACCTCCTCCTCCAGTAGTGGAGAAATGAATTTTCCCGTTGGAGAGTTCTGATTGTATGACTTCCATCCCCCGTCCCCCCCACCGCGAATGATGACCTCAGTAGGACAGCTAAGTCCTCTTCCTCCTCCCAACCTTCCCTGCAGGCCCTCTCATGTGCCCAGCCTTGTGCCGGCCACATGCTGACACCCCTGCTGGTGTGCACACCTACACCTGCACACCCAGCTTTCCTCCCCTGCTCCCACTCCTGGTAATGCATCCATCCTTCTGGGACCTTGGTGTTCTCCCAGCTGCAAGCACCCCTCGCCCTCCTCCTGAGTCACTCAGCACTTGGCTGACTCCCTCCACCCCCCACCATTGCTGTCCTCATTTCCGGCCTTACATTACTGACCTGTGCACTTATCCTAACCCCTTGAGGGCAAAAACCTTGCCCTGTACATCTCTGTGCTCTCTGCTGCCATTAGTGTGGGAGTGCTACTATTTATTGAATGAATGAAATCGCACTCCTACTCTCATTACAGTAGAACATAAATTTCCAAGAGGCGATCGTACAGAAGGTAAATTAATGAGGCCAAGGTTATAGGTTCAATTCCCATGCGGTTCATTTAGCTTTGCACAGAGGAAAAGCGGGGGAAAAAAACATCCAGGGACACAGACTACTTTCAAAAGCTCAGCCAGCTGTCTCACAAACATGCATTATTAACACAGAAGACAGGCCACATAGAGTGGACGGGTCAGGAAAACGCTGGTCCCTACTGACACTTTATCATGCAGTTATCTTTGAACCTGAAACATGGCACATTTGGGGGAGTTATATATGTAGTTTCAAGCAATCAGTACATTTTACAAGGGGGTAGGTAGAGAAAGAAAAGGGGAGAAAAGAGAAA